TATTTAAGCCCTGGAGGCTCAGGGGCCAAGGGCCACGGGGAGGGAGGGATACCCCAGGCTGGTCCAGCAGTGCCAGGCTCTCTGCGCAGCTTCTTGGTTTTATTAGGAATGATGTTGCCTCCTACATCCCTTTAAGGAACGTTTTGAAAGTAACCCTTTGGCGTGGGGACCTGATACTTGATCTATATGCTGGTTACTGTGCGTTCAAGTACAAGAGTGGGAAATGCTTATCTGACCACAGTGATCCTTTCTTTTAAGGACTGAGGTGCCAGTAAGTGCAAGGACGCGCATTACTTGCTTTACTGGCTGCGCTGTAGGATGCAGAGCTCCCAGTCATGAATATTTGTGACCTGGGCTTTAGAGCAAGCGGAGTTTGCAGTTTTTATTTTTTCAAGATATCACCAAAATATACCATTTAAAATGGTTATATTTTACTCAAATGTGGAATATACTGAACAAAACGAAGTAACAAGCAAAATAGAGACAGACTCATAGATAGAGAGCAGGCTGAGAGCTGTGGGTTGGGGGCGCTGGGTGTGGGTGTGCAGGCATTGAGCAAAAAAGAAAAAGAGAAAAAACACATGGACACCAACAATAATGTGGTGATTTTGGGGGAGGGGTTGAAGGAGTGAGGAGAGGTGGAGGAGGGTCTAGGCAGGATAAAAAGTGATGGGTGGAGGCTTAACTTAAGGTGGGGAACACACAATACAGTGTACAGATGATGTGTTGTGGAATTGTGCACCCAAAACCTGTACAAGTTTGTTGACCAGTGTCACCCCAATAAATTCAACAAAAATGAAATAAATAAATTAAAATGGTTATATACAAACAGCTGAGAAGTGAATTATGCGTTGGTCTCCCAGACCCAAAAGTTCAAAATGATGGTGACTTATGGTATGTGTGTCACTTCACTGGCAGCCCATCATGTATTATGAGAAATATTGCAAGACAGACAGTAAAAGTTGAGAGAGGAAAGGGGGATTCATGTCCCAAAGGTCAATGTGTTCAAAGTAAACTTCAGCCAATTTGGCCCATATTCCACAGGTGCAGCGGTTTAGTTCATGTTGAGATGAACATCTGAAAAGGGGGACACAGGTTTTCCTGTGAAACAATTCACAGAAGCTTCACTACTGTAAGTACTAGACAGTGCTGTGGAGGGTCAACAGCAAAAGTTAACTGGCTCAAAGATGTCTGAAAATAAGGGCATGTAACAAAAGCCCATGGTTTGCCAATGAGAAAGTGAATTCCTTGAATGTTACTTACATTTTAAGTGATATTCATTTTCTTTTCTCTCTTTTTTGAAAATCCTCACTGGAGGATATTTTTCTATTGGTTTTTAGAGAGAGTGAAAGCGAGAGAGGAGGCAAAGAGAGAGAAGCATCGACGTGAGAGAGACATATCCATTGGTTGCCTCCCGAAGTGCCCCTACTGGGGTGGAGATCAAGCCTGCAACCAAGATTCCTGCCTTTGACAGGAAAATGAACCCTCGACTCTTCAGTCGGTGGGTCAATGCTCTAATCACTGAGCCCAATCCGCCAAGACTGGTATTCATTTTGCTAACTAAGGTAACTTTTACTCCATACATTGGAAACTTAAAATTAATTCTATTTATCACAGCCATTTTATAAAACCTCACACATATAAGGAATTGAAACAAAAAATTTAGATTTTTGGATATTACTATTACTTGAATATGCAACTAACAGAATAAAAAGTACATGCATATTTTGAAGATTTTGTACAGTATTGCACATAAATACATTAGTAACACATAGTCCGTATAATGTACTAAAATATTAAGATATTTTAGAGATTCTAACTTTTACAAAAATCCAACAATAATACAAAAAATGTTGAGTTGAGACCAATCTTCAGTATGAACAAAGACTCCAAAATAAAGTAGTAGCAAATAGAATTTGTTTATTAAGCCCTTGGCCAGACTTTTGGTTTTGTCACCATCCTTCCACTAAGTGGTCACTTGAGGACCATCTGTGGCCTCCTGATTGTGAGATTACAGGGCTTCTTTCTCATTTCCATCCTTCTGGAAGGCTCTGATCAGAATTAACATTGTTAGTCACCTTCTGCAAAGTCCTTCATCAGCCCCCTCAATTCTGGTCCACCCCAGTCCTCAGGCTTGATGACTGCTCTCAAGGGAGTGTGCCGTCTGGGACCTGAAGGGCATCAGCAGGGGCGGCAGCCTCTCCAGGTCCTGGGTAACTTTCCTCCCAGGCCATCCCGGTTTCCTTGCATCTGCTGGCCCTGCGTGCGATGTCTGGTCTTTACAAGCACGCAGGATCTACCTGACCATTTTCTTCCTGCGGTTAGAATTTGCTAAAAGAACTTTGTCAGAAGACTAAGGGGGACCAATAATGAAAATAAAATATGAAAGGATAAAACAAGTTTTCAGGGCACAAATTCCGAGAACCCAATAAAACCGAAAGACTGGACTGTCTGGTAGAACCCGTCAAATGCACACTGAGGATGGTCCCTTCCCTCCAGCCTCTGCAGGGAGGGTCTCTGGTCTCCAGCTCTGCTTGGTCTTAGGCCCTCACCCATCTTGTCAGATTGTGTGCCCTTCAGTAAGCACCCACCACACATCAGCCACCTTTACAGGCACCAAGGGTGATGAGTCGTTTCCATATCCTCTTCATCTCTTGTGTTGCATTCTCCACGTCTGTTTCTAAGCTCTGTCTTTTGCACTGTGGCCCTCACCCCAGAGAGGACCCTTTTCCCAGCTGCTTCTAATCCCACGTCTCCAGCTTCCTGCTGGCCACTTCCACTCAGATCTCCGACCACTGCTTTTAATCCACACAGTCACCAAACCACAGCTCTCATTTCCTCTTCCAAGCTCAAATTACCACTCCCCCCCAATGTCCTTCTCTCTGAATCTCCCCATAACTAGCCCTCTCACCAGGCTCAGGCATGTCTTTCATTTGTATCTATCTCATCTCTGCTCTGTTCAGATGCCACACACTGCTTTATTTTTGTCTTCAGAAAGTGTCCTCCCTCTGTCCTTTCTCTTTTCCATTTGCCCCTCCTGTCATCCAGCAGGGCCTTCAACACTCACTCCAAGGTTAGAACATACTTCCCGAGTCCCTGCAGGCTATAGAAGGGACTCTTCTTTCTTGAACAGCACTTCAGCATCTCTCTCCCCTCTCTAAGTGGATTAGTGGCTCTCTAGTCCTTCAGTTCATGTGCACCACTGGGACTTACTGAATGCCCACTGTGTGCAAACATGGCCACAGCCTAGCTCCATGTGCACAAGCAGCCATTAAATTCACTGCTTCCTAACCCAATGCCCTGTTTCAGTCACGTGGTCACAGGTATTCCTGCCTCTGCATGGGAACTTTGCTCTGTTGTTGAAATGTACTCCCTTTGCCCTCCCTTCTACCCAAAGCCACACCTCCTAAGCCCAGCTCAAATTCCACTCCTCCCTGGCTACACCTTTTAATATGAATACCCTTCATCTCTGAAGTCCCTCTGCCCTTGTAGAGCTCCCCATTCTCCTGGATTTTCCTGCCTCCACAAATAGATCTCAAGATAGAGACCATATTGAAGTTGAAGACACAGCATGTGCTAATGCATAAAGGTAGAGTTTCAGGGCCCACAGGAAGTTTGGTGCTCAGAGTGCTGAGCCAGGTCCTCATGGGGGGTGCACACTGTCCACGGCTCTTGTCCTGTGCTCCAGAGGCAGACGTCGAGCAGGGCAGAGGGAGGGGCTAGGGCCAAGGGCAGAGTTAGGGGTCTTGTGAGAGTCTATGGTTGATGGCACCCCTCCAAGCCCAGCAGGATGGCTGTGGGGTCTGTGTAGGAGTCAGAATTGACAGTTTGGAGGAGAAGCAGGATGTAACCTAGAATAATTCCCTGACACCTGTCATCCTTCACGGGAGAGTGGTTTGTTTCACGTTCAACAATTAAGTTTCTCGATGAAAACGTGTTACTGTCTAAGATCATGCAGAGTGGAGCAGGCAGCTGTCACAATATGGGGCAAGGAGGCTGGTAGGATACATGAAGACTAAGGTTTCTCTACAGAGCTCAAATGACCAAAACGAAAAGCTGGAAGTTTACTGCAAACGAGGGTTAACATTTGCCTATGTTTTTAGATCACAGGGAGTAAAGTTTTGTTTGTTTATTTGCCTTTAAACCAATTCCTTAAAAATTAGGATATTTAAGCCTTTAAAGATTCAACATGATAGTTTTCTTTATTCTTGTATGTATACTCACAGCTTAGCCCACGTTCCTTACTGCACAGACTGGCCATGAGAAAAGCGATGCTGTCTTTAGTTCCAGTTTGGAGCATCTGGCCCGTTTGAACAGAGGTGACACAGAGGACACCTTGTAGGCTGGATCCCCTGTGTCCAAGGAGCACTGTCACCCTCACAAAGTGGGCCCAGGGGTCTTACTTCCCTCTATCCGAGAGGCAGTTGACTGTGAATGACCACAGTCCCCACCTTACAGATAGAGACATGGTCTCCTGCCCAAGGATGTACAGAGTGAACCATTTATGTAACATTTGCAAAGAGAAAGATTCAAAAGGAAAGGGAAAGATGGAGGAGGCAACAATTTAATACGACCGAAGTTAAGAAGGTGCAGTGGGCATTGTGACAATTTGGGAGAAGGTTGCCCTAACTTCACGTGAGCAGGACAGGCGAGATTAGGAATTGGCAGCTGCACAGGAAGCCCCAGAGCTCCTGTAGAGACAGAGGCTGGAAGAGCCCAGGGTGTAGTTAGGAGGCTGGGAGAGATCGTGTCCCTTAGGAAAGTCACTTCTCTTTCTTATTCAGTTTCCTCATCTCTAAAGTGAGTTAAGTAGCCTGTGTTTGTCTCATTTTTGCTATACCAGGTAGGGTAACATAGCTCAGTACTATATAAGAGCTGTAGACCTTGGTCTAACCCTGCATAGTTTAACTTTTGGTTAACCTGGGCAGTTGGACTACAGCTCACCTGTCCTACCTGCATATTAAGAAGCATGTTCCCTTACAGGCTGGCAGTCTGGAGCAATGGGTGACTGGAGCCTTCTGGGGAGACTATTGGATACTGCACAGGAGCACTCCACGGTCATTGGCAAGGTCTGGCTGACAGTCCTGTTCATCTTCCGAATCTTGTTGCTGGGAGCAGGGGTGGAGTCAGTATGGGGAGACGAGCAGTCAGGCTTCACCTGCAACACCCAGCAGCCCGGCTGCATGAACGTCTGCTACGACAAAGCCTTCCCTATCTCCCACACCCGCTTCTGGGTGCTGCAGATCATCTTCGTGTCCACTCCCACCCTCATCTACCTGGGGCACGTGCTGCACATCGTGCGCATGGAAGAGAAGAAGAAAGGGCGGGAGGAAGAGCAGCTGAAGGGAGAGAGCGACCGTGGCCAGAAGGACAGGCCCCCAGTGCGGGATGACCAGGGAAAGGTCCTCATTGCCGGGGCCCTGCTCCGGACCTACATATTCAACATCATCTTTAAGATGTTGTTTGAAGTGGGATTTATTGTCGGACAGTACTATCTGTATGGCTTTCAGCTGAAGCCACTCTACCACTGTGACCGGTGGCCCTGCCCCAACATGGTGGATTGCTTTATCTCCAGGCCCACGGAGAAGACCATCTTCATCATTTTCATGCTGGTTGTGGCCTGCCTGTCCCTCTTACTCAACGTGCTGGAGATATACCATTTGGGCTGGAAGAAGCTTAAACAGGGCATGACCAACCACTATTGCCCAGAAAACCCTGAATCCAGGATGGAGGCCGCACTATCTGGGGATGTGATCCCACTCCCCTCCCACTAGGCCACAGACACTGGTACTGTGGAGTGCCCTCCTTCCTACGTTCACTCTGTCTCTTCCCTGGGATGGGCAACAATCGTCATTTTTCCAGGGCCTCTTCACCAGCAACAGACTTCAATGTGGTAGCTTTTTCCCAGACCCAGGGGAAGGGCCACCCTGACAAATTCTACCATAGTAACCATCACTTGCTAATGACAGAGCAGAACTGGGCCAACCAGGAGCTTGAACAACAGACTTCTGTGAGGAATGTCTCCCCAGTTGTACCTACATCTTCTTCCTTTCCTCCCTCCCAGGCAGCTCCCAGCCAAATTCTCAGGAGCCTGTCCTGTTGCAGAATGGGGACCACAGCATCTTGGGAGAGAGCAGATTGGAAGTTACTCCTCATGAGGGGCAGCAGGCAGTGACCCCCCACTGTGGAGATGCACATGCCACCTTTGCTACCCACAGACCCCAGACTGTCAAGCAAGGCCAGTAAGTCCAACAACGGTCAGGGAAGACCCAATGACTTGGTCATCTAGTGGTATTCTCCCCAGACAGCTTTATAATGACCTCTTTTCTAGCCACAAAACCAAAGTGCACTTCAACTGAGCAGGTAGAGAGCCTAGGGTGACAGAGAGCACTGGACTGGGGAGAGGGAGAAGATCACCAAAAAGGTTGGGTTTCGGTGTCAGTGCTTGCTGTCCTTAATGCTGAAGGTGGAGTGGGGAGGACCACAATGCTTTCTATAGGGGATGGGGGCAAAGTGGGGTGCAGGGCCTAATGTTCTTTAAAGATACTCACAGCAACCCGAGAGCCCTGAACCTGGCCAAGGTGTTTCTGTCTCTGTGGGGGACTGTTCTGCGGTGATAAAGAGGCAGGTGTCTGCAGTCACTTCAATTTGGGGCCATTAGGTTTTCTGTCCTGAGCTCTCCCAAGCCTCTGGGCAGCCCAGAAGGCCATAGCTGCACTTAGCCCTATGTCTGTTTGATACTTTTAACTCAGGGTTGAAGTTCATTTGGGATATTTGCCAAACTGCACCAAAAGGAGACTTAGAGCAAGCCTATGTAGTGTCGTTTGAGATTCTGAAATTGCATGTGAAGCCCAGGATATCCAAGTGCAGGCTTCATGACAAGTGACAATGAGCAGCTCCCCCAGAGGCAGAGATTCATGGGTGAGGGCACAGAGGTGGCTGGGAAGAAAGCAGGTGGAAATGCAGCCACACTTGAGATCACTTTTAACAGCTGAGGAAACAGAAACAATAATGTGGCAGGGCTCCTTTGTGTTTGTTTTTAAGTGATATTTTCTGCTTTAAATTTTACAGATAGACCTATTTCCCCCACTTTCTCTCTTTTGGAAAAAATAAATGTATTACTATTACATGGATACTGACCAACATAGTGATTATTTGTCCCATTTCCCACTTATAAAGGTTTAAAATTTCTTTTAAAAGAAATGCTTTGACTTCCTGAGTCAGCTCACTACTATGAGAATGTACCAAATGAAATAAAAGCAGGGAAAAACTTACGTGCCTTTCAAATACTTGAAGTTTTTGAGTGGGAAGTTAAAATTTAACTGCTGTTGCCAGAAAAATTATTTATACAGATGAATGAATGAACTACACCCTTTTAACAGTGCGAATGAACCTCTTCACATTTCCTAACTATTCTTTGTGGGCAGCCCGTTTGCTTTCTACAGTGCAAATGAAAGTGTCTGGGTTCACTCCCTGTGTAAGTGTGATTTCGTGTGCTTGTCTGATTTGTCATCCACGAGGATGGTTGCTCGGTGACAGGGAAGGCTACTTGAGTGGGTGGGTGTGGCTAAAAGATGACAGAATTTTCTGTCCTGCACACACGCTGTTCTGTCTCAGTCAGTGTCTGAACCGATGAGCAGTGGTGGTGCTGAGCCTGGTCCTAGTCACACTTTTCACCTCCAACAGCGACTGATTGCAGTTAGTACTTATTCTGCAAAACGCCATACACTGTCAATTGATCTACTTGTTTTTATGGATTCCCTTAATTTCCTGATGATTCTTTTTCACCTTCTAACAGTCTGTGAAGAGACTGTGATTTCTGTCCTCAGATTAATGCGAGCACCTAGTTCATTAATGCATTCAGCTGGCTGTGGNTCTGTCAATTGAATCCACCTGTTTTTATGGATTCCCTTAATTTCCTGATGATTCTTTTTGTGATAAAAAGACTGACTAATGTGAGCAGCTAGTTCATGAATGTGTTCATTAATGGGTGTGGTGTGGGCTGGACCATCTCCCCAGCTTGAACTGTCCTCACTTCCCACACATGTCCTGCAGCCTTTCTCAGGCAGATGGAAAAGGAGAGGGAGGTAAGCCCTATGGAGAATAGTTGAGTGACAGTTGCCTCAGTTCTCCTGGGGCTGGTGCATAAGTACTGCCACTGTGATGCCTGGGAGAGAAGGGCTCACACACAGGGGATTCTCAAGCTTCAGGCAGTGAGGCTGAGTTCTCCCAGCTGGGAAGGGCCACTAGAAAGTCCTAGTGTGAACAGCACTGTGACAGAGCAGCTGTGGTTGTTTAGAAAATGCAATAGCAGTTAACAGTCAGGGAAAATGCAGCTAGCTGGGTGAGTGTGAAATTTGTCCAGGTTCTTAGGTTCCACCCTGGAGACTGTTAATAGCGACGATAAACTTTTTTTTGGACCACAATTTGATATTGAGTGGGGTTGGAGGTGTTAGTGGGACTATAATTGTGTTTAGAAATTGCATTTTAAAATTGGATTTTATTCCCATATGTCTTGAAGAGGCCAGTATTTTGCAGTTGACTACAGCCTATTTGGCCTACTCAGAGCTTGGGTAGGGTGTAAAATTAGATCCAGCTCCCTGACAACCATCATTTATACAGAAGTAAAATTCTGAAGTAGAGCCTACAGTATATATGCAGGTGAATATTCTAATTTTAATTCATGTAAAAAATGAAAGCACATCTTACATGGTGTTGCTCTTTGAGGGATACATGGCCCTGAGGTGAGGCTCCTTTTCCCTCTCAGCCAGAAGTGGGAAAGGTCACTCTCTGTTCAACCCATCATTGTAAGCACTCAAATGTCAACAGAAACAGAAATCACCTCTCCCTTTGGGCCAGATCCCAGATATATTTTTCTAACCTGTTAATTATTTGGAAATTTCATTGAAACTATTTTCCTCTCAATTTAAAGGAATATTTTTTTATCCTTAAGTTTATTTTTAAATACAAGTGCTATACCTATTATATTTATACATGTTATTTTAAATTTGTCATATATAAGGCAGTTATGTTCTTCCATCCCTGCATTTAGAAGCCCAGTCATCCAGTTGGCACTGCACAGTCTGTAAAAGTAAAAGGTCACAATCACTACATTCACAGTACCGAAGTCCACTTTTTAATTCTAAATCATCTCTTATAGAATCACTATCTCTTTTTTAAACTTCATTTTGCTGAGTTATTTCTTTTTCCCCATGAAATTGACAAAAAAGATAAGTTAAAAGAGAGAGAGAGAAAGGTAAACATAGCAAGTCAGAATATTCTGATATTCCTTGGATTTCTCTGATCTTTAAGTGGCTAGATCATAGATTTCTCACACAAGAACACCTAGAATAAAAACTGTGGATGCAATTCAAACATTCTTTAAAAAAATTAACCTGATGAGATTAGGTCTCTTCTCAGTTTAGGCTTTTTCCTCCCATTAATACTTTATTTAATTATTTAGTGTTACTAGATAAAATCCTTCAGCCGGGCCAGTGTGGCTGAGCGGTTGAGCATCAGCTTATGATCCAGGAGATCTCGGTTTGATTTCAAGTCAGGGCACAGGTCCCGGTTGCCGGCTGGATCCCCAGTAGGGGGCATGCAGGAGGGAGCCAATCAATGACTCTCTCATGATTGATGTTTCTAGCTCTCTCTCCCTCTTCCTTCCTCTCTCTGAAATCAATAAAGACATAAATAAAAAAATAATAAATAATAAAAAAATAAAGAGTTGTTACAAATATCAGAAGCAAATGTTTAAACGGAAAAATTTGAGATGAAAGATTTATTTATCTATTTTTTTATGTCTTTATTGATTTCAGAGAGAGGACAGGAGAGAGAGAGATAGAAACATCAATGATGAGAGAGTCATTGATTGGCTGCCTCCTGGGCATGTGCCCTGACCGGGTAATTGAACCTCGAGCTCCTGGATCATAGGTCAATGCTCAACTACTAAGCCATGCTGGCCAGGCTGTAACAACTCTTCAGAACTGTTATGAATTCTAATGAATCAAAATTATAAATAAATATAGGAACTTTGAAATTCTTGTATATATTCCAATATCATTTACAAACTTAGTCATATGCTCTTAAACTTTTTAACTACAAGTCTAAAATTAATTACACATTTTGCATAAAAATAAAAACCTATTTTGCCAGACTTTTTTTTTTCTCCAATCCTCACCCAAGGACATTTTTTCCATTGCTTTTCAGAGAGAGTAGAAGGGTAAAAGAGAGAGAGAAAGAGAGAGGGAGAGGGAGAAACAGGGATGTGAGAGAGACACATCAATTGGTTGCCTCCTGCATGTGCCCTGACCACTGGGGCTGGGGATTTAGCCTGCAACCAAGGTACATAGCCTTGGCCAGAATCAAACCAGGGATCCTTCAGTCCATGGGTTGACAGTCTAACTACTGAGCCAAACCTGCTAGGGCTGGCCAGATGTTTTTTTTGTTTGTTTGTTTTTTTTAAATATATCTTTATTGATTTCAGAGAGAGGAAAGGAGAGGGAGAGAGAGAGAGAAACATCAATGATGAGAAAGTTATTGATGGAGCCGGCAACCCGGGCATGTGTCCTGACCGGGAATCAAACCCCGATCGCCTGGATCCTAGGTTGACGCTCAACCGCTGAGCCAAGCCCGGCTGGGCTTGCCAGATGTTTTAATATGCCAGATTCCCTTAAAGATGACAAATACATTACCTACCCAATATCCAGAGAGGTAACACTGACAGAAGGCAGGTCAGGGATTGCCTGGGGTCAGATTAAGGAAAGAGTGACTGCAAAATAGATAAGGAAACTACAGGTGGTTACACAGTATAGACATTTTTTCAAAATTCAATAAACTGCACCTTAAAATAGATTTATCATATGTTACTTATATGCCCACAATGTTGATTTAAGGGGACATATGTGTATATATATATACATATATATATACACACACACACACGTGTGTGTGTATATCCATACACATACAGATTCTCAATGGATACAAAACCTAAACTTAACACAAAAGGACTAAGTCTTCGCTCTCATTGACTTTACCATCTCTACATTTAATTCTAAACAGGTTTTAAAAAATAGTTGAGATGAATTCTGAGAGATGAGGTGTGAGGGGACACCAAGCAGAGGAACAGGAAGGGTCAGTTGAGGTTCTCCAAAAAGAAGTGTAAAAGGCAGA